CCAAAAATAAATAAACGTTGAAAAAAAAAATTTTTTTTAATTGACCATAGAGAGCTCCTCCGCTCCTCCAACCCTTGTGTGGACACAGTGAAAAGGCTATTAACCAGGAAGCAGACCCGATCAGTCAGTGCCTTGATCCGTGGGCTTCCCAGCCTCCAGAACCATGAGAAATAAATATCTATGATTATTAGCTACCCCATCTACAGTATTTTGAGACCAAACAGGCCAAAACACGCGATTCCATTCATATTATGTTCAAGAACAGGCAAAACCAACCTCAGCTTAGAAGTTGGAATAGTGGTGATCCTTCGCAAGGGTATTGACTGGGAGGGGGCACGTGGGAGCCTTGAGGGAGGCTAGAGATGTTCTCTACCTCAATCTGAGTGGGCGTTCCATGGGTGAATACATCAGTAAAAATGCATCGAGCTGTACGTTTAAGATTTTGTATTTCACCTTGGGTAGGTTTACTTTATAAGTTTTTAAAAGTTTATTCTGAGAGAGAGAACAAGCTGGGGAGGGACAGAGAGAGAAGGGGACAGAGGATCCGAAGTGGGCTCTGCGCTGATAGCAGAAAGCCCAAAGTGGGGCTCGAACTCATGAGCTGTGAAATCATGCCCTTAGCCAAAGTCAGACACTTAACTGACTGAGCCACTCAGGCGCCCCTAGGTAGGTTTACTTTAGGGAAGTTGTACCTCAGAAGAAAAGTTAAAAAGAAATATAGAAACACATTCCAGAAAAAAACAGGGCAATGCTTACAGTATCATAACACTGTAAATGCTATCCTCATTTGCAAGGTCTGGAAAGACACAGAGAAAAGCAGACTCGGGAGCGTGTACTAGTTAGCTAATGCTGTGTAACAAGTCACCCCCGGACTAAATGGTTTAAAACAGAAATACACATTTATTATTTTTCATGGTGTCTGGGTTAGAAGTTTGAAAGCAGCTTGGCCATGCGGTTCTGGATCACGGGGTTGCGGACAGATGTCAGCTGAGGTGGCCATCGTGCAAAGCCTTCACTAAAGCTAAAGAATCTGCTTTCAAGATGGTTGGAGCCCCCAACTCTTGAACTTGGGTTTCTGTTAGAGAACTGTAGCAAGAAAGTCCCGTAGGTGGAGCCTAGAGGAAAGGGATCTTCACGGATGGAGCTATGAAGTGGGAGAGGTGGGGAGCTCGGGCAGAGGAGTGAGCCCAACACATGCAGGATTCAGAAAGTATACTCAACAGTACCTGAGGACGTGCTGGCATTTGGTGAAGGGGAATCCTTGAAGGTCAACGGCTCAAGGGTTGCACAAACAGTGATGCAAGAGAGAGGAGGAAACATTGCAAGAGGGAAAGTTTTGAGTACGGGAAGGAGAAAGGATCCGGTGCCTAAGTGGGGGGGTGGGGGAGGCCTCTTACATGCTGTCCCAACACGGTCATGGGCAGGGCAGCAGTTCACCTGTACCTCTGCAAGTGAGCTCGTGGTGTCCCTGGGGTAAACGCACGGAAGTCTTCTTCTGGTGGCTTCTATTTTTTTCTGCCAAAGAAGAAGTGAGAATGAAGAGGGGGAGGGGTGCTGGAGATTTTGAGAGAGAAGGTGAGAACACGCTTTCTTAGAGATTAGAAAAGGGAACTACAGAGGCCCTGCAGATTGGTTCTGAATGTCCACTGGAGGCTTGCCCTCACACAGCTGAAGTGTGTCCACTCACGAGCTCAGCTGGGGGGAGCAGGCACAGGAAAGGCAAAGTCCATTTTTAACCAGCGTTGGGGTTTGCCAGGCAAGTAGGACTGAGGGAGAAAGAGCAAGGAAGTTAAAGTAATGTGTACAAGGACCTGACTGCACTGGGCCACAGAATCCAAGGAAGGAAGAGAGGACGTGAGAGGAAGTGAGGCAAAGAGAAGAGAAGATCAAAGGATCAGGGGGTACCAATGGCATCCCAGAATTGAAAGGCACTTTATGACTTGGCCCCTCTCTGACATCTTCTCTCCTCTATCCCCCTTGATCATTCAGCCTAGCCACATTGGCCTCCTTGTTGTTTCTCAGAGAAACCCAGACATGCTCCTGCCTCAGGGCCTTTGCACAGGCTGTTCCACCCAAGTGTCTTGCCTCCAAAAAACCCTAATCAGCCTCTCTCCTTTAAATATTTTCTTGAATATCACCTTCTTAGTGAAGTCTTCCCTGACCACCCAATTCAATATGGCAACCATCCCCTCCCCAAATCTCCAATCTCCTTTACCCTGACCTATTTTTTCCCATAGCACTCAACCTCTTTGAACATTTAATTAACTCTAAGATGTCATCAGGTTTAAGTCACGTGCATCTTAGAATCAGTGATACTGCCTGTTTCCCCATTATAATCTTATTTCCACGAGGGCAGGGATCTTGGTTTATTTCATTCGTCATCACGTCCCCAGCACCTAGGACAGTGCCTGGTATCTAGCAAATGCTCAGCAAGTATTTTCAACAACCTACTTTGAGCACAGTTGCTTTAGGGAATTTCCTTGACCCAGAAGACGGAGCATCAGTTTCTCTACGATAAGTCTTACCACATCTCCCCCTCATCTATTTTAGCAGCTGGAATATTCCATCTCGATCCCTCAGAATCCCCTCACCCAGATGTCGTGTCCCAATTCTTGCTTGCTCCGGGGTTAAGGGATTTCTGAAAGATCCTGCTGCAAATTCCCAAATGGCCACACGGCGGTGCTGTGGGCCTGTTTTCCCAGCCAAGATCGCCTCGGTTCGCCGCCGCCC